CTTTTTTGATATCATTCATTTTGGTTAATGCTGCTGATAGTAGTAGTTTTGTGTTTCACTGATTTGTTGTAATTTATTTCAATAATCATTATCATGAGGATTGTATAATACACATTATTTGATATTATTCAGTAAGTTGTATTGATTTGCTTATATTATATTCATTTTAATATTTATTTTGAAGTAGTTTATACATAGTCATTTCTGTTAGGAAGAGTGTTATCTCTACTATTTTTTTTCTTTTGGACTGACTATTCTAACTTTTATTCATTTAAACACAATCAAAAATGAAGTGTTATTGAACAGTTATTGAACGATCCGATCAATTATTATTGTATTTAAAAACAAACATTGATTAAGTCATAGTGTAGTGAAGGAGAACACAGGTGAGGGCAACCGAATTGTATTAAACGAAAATTACAGAGTTACTCTGCAATATAGGAAAACTATATCGTAAACGGTTAATTTGCAAATCTTCAATCCATCATCAATCCATTGTTTGACATTTCACTGTTCATGCGTTTCATACAAATTCCATTGTGTTCCCACTCTTCCTTTCTTGATTTTCCCCCATCTTCTGCTGCCAGACATTACGTTTTTATTCGCGTCATATACTACTTATAAGTAGCGCGGACCACAATAGAATTAAATTGTCCAAAGGATGATATGTATTGCATATAAATGATCGAGGTATAAATTAAGTATTGGAATCAAGAATTCAAAGCAACCGCTTATTTTTAACCTAATTTTTAGTTACAAAAAGGGGTTGATCATTTATTTACCTCCAGTTTTTAGTAAACTGGAAAAAGAAAATACTCGTCTGTATAGTTTTATGTGAAACCAAAAAAAAATATCATAAATTTTAAAAACGCAAATGTTGACATAAAAAACAAGCAGAAAAAAAATTTATGTATTACTCAGTTTCTTTTTTAATCACGAAATTAATTCATTAATTTAATATAGAACAGTTAATGTTAATATTTACTGAAAGTAGATTTGATCAAGTTTCAATTGTTGGATAACTTAATGATCAGTTGTTTTGATCAACAATATTCAATTGAAACATACATTTACTATTTTTTATTGGTCTGGTTTCTTTTTTAAATTAATTTCTATTCTAAATTGTTTTCTATAAATATTTTGGTTCAATCAATGTTTAGTTTTTATCACTTATATTCTAACTTTAAAAATTCTCTTTACCAACTTTGATCATAGTTTTGATGAATTGAAATCATTTTGATGAATTATTCAACATTAAATCTACTAGAAATTCTTATAATATCATACATAGTAAACTGTAGATTTTTATAATAAAATAATCGAAATTATCATGTTAACTGTGTTAAGATTCAGTGAGTTTACAATATGATCTATATCATATACATATTTGGTAATGTTTATTGTTCTATTAAAATCATGAATCAGTCAGTGTTAGACACAACCATTAGAAATTTGAACGGCCGTCTCGTCCTAGTATGCAGTTCATTAGCAGTACAGTACCCATCCACAACCTTTAATCGCGGGAATCTCCAACCCATCACCATCCGACTCACATGCGAACGCTTAACTTTTTGACCACTTAGTCGGCGTCATCCAACGGTGTTAATGCTTAACTCTGATCAATCTAAGGTATTGCTCAACCTCACCTATTGTCTTCGGTTGAACTCTACTAGTTATAGCTAGCTGCATAACTCTGCATAATTCCTTCTCAATTTCGTGTTTGGAATATTTTAGTACATTTTTTTTATGAAACGTAATCATTAATTACAATTGTGTTTGATGTTGTTGAATTTTTTTTTGTAGTGATCATTCATATAAAATTTTGCGAAATTCTTTAAATCCTAATCGCTCGCTATACACTTATGAATTATTATATAATTTTGATTGTTACATCACATTCATTATTAAAATTTCTCTGAGATTATTATAAATCAAGCATGATATCTCATATAGTATAATAGATGTTAATGAACTAAACAATTTGGGTTGCATAATTCCAACTAGACAGATGTTAATGATTATTATTATTATTATTATGAACAAAATGAAAATAAGTTTGTTTCAATTTGTTTGTTTAATTTTGTTATGTTATCTATCATACGTGGCATATTTTCTAAATATAAATTAATTATAAAGTTTTTTTATTTATTTCTAAGAATAAATTGACTAAGTAGTATTTTATGCTTACTTTCCTTCCTTCCTTCCATTCTGATACATTGTGATGACAATTTAACATCAATCAGTACACAGTACTTACTAATGAGTCACATACTAGAATGACGAAACAGTCATCCATTGCTTCCAGCTTTCTAATGAGCGGTCTAACTATTGATCAATTCATGATTTCAACAAATAACTCAATAATCTTCACATTGAAAAATTATAAAATAGGTAGAGATACTTGAAACACTTGAAACAATGTGATAATGAAAAATGCATTAGTTGAGAAATTAATGGTAATATTAATCATAATCATATTGATTGTGTAGGTGCTGTATCAGTGTTTTTCATGGTTTATTCGAAAAAAAACACATTGTAAATGTGAATGTGGAAATGTGATCGAAAATAAAAAGTGAATAGATCATCGGTAAATTGTGTACAGAACTTGTGTATTATGTGAAATAAGAATACACAGAGGTGGTAGTGTTTATAATTCCTTGAATCAGTTAAAATATGAATGATATGGTTTTGGTTGGTTGGAGAATTGAAGAAGGATAGAGATTTTTTGAATATATCTTTAGTACCGCCTAATAATTCCACTACATCTACCACTATGGGATTTGAATTGACAATTGAATCTCTATGCTAATGTGGTATATGAGCTTGAACTGATATACGTACGTAAGTACCGTAATAAGTTGAACTTTGTAGCTGCCTGATGTAAATAATTTTCGTACGTTTAATTTATTAAGTAGAGTAGCAGTAGATACTTTGAAAGCTACATTAGGACACTTTATATAATATTGAATGATTGAAGATTTGAACGGATATTTTGATTGTGACCAATGCGGTCTCGTGTGGTGTTATAGGTATGAGGGTGGTTGTCACTTCCCGGCAACCTACACCGTGGAAGGGTGTTTCTTGAGGAACCTGAAAAAGAAGTTGGATTAGTGTTGATCCTAGATACCTGGGAGCGTGAACGCAGAGCACAAAGGACAACTGCTTGAGATCGGTCACGCACAGCCTTGTTGTGAGAAGTTTTTAAAGTGTTGGCTCTGCTATTTTTAAAAGGTCTTACCACCGGAGACAGAAATGAACTAACAGTTCAATTCAAACACTATTGTATTTTCTATTAAGCTATTGATTTCAGATAACCACTATTCACTTGTGCAACTGGGTATGAAATTTAATTCAATTTGAAATGGTTTGAATTATCTTGTTGCAAAAGTGACGGACTATATGTATGTACTCAGTAGATAAGCGGAACAATGAAATGGGTATTTTGAAGCGAATAGCACCGAGGTACAGTCCCAGAGTGAACATCAACTCTAAGGTACAGGTATATCTGTCCAGCTGACGAGTCTTATATACAGTGAAACAAACGTCTTGAATTCCATTACTAATAAAATTCTATCTATCCTAAGTATTGTCACAAGGTTATATATTCTTATCAATTTCTGTTTATATATATATTCTAAAAATTATGTTTTGTAGTGTAGGAATAGGTTGGAAGAAAGTTAGGGGCGGCCAAACCAAAACATGGCAGAAATCAACGAAGTCATTGACAAGTGGACTGAGTCGTGTCGGTAGGTGTAGGCTACGTGGTTGGGGTCCGCGAGATGATAATAATCGATGATTAGAGACTCTGAATGACATGGCTCAAAATCGTTCGCAATGGCGACGGTGCATTTATTCTTTGTGTTCTCTCAAATCCTAATCTGCTGGATTCTTCAACCCCTCTAGTTTTGACTTTCTAAACTTTTCTCATTTAATCATACTTCTTGAATAATATCTTCTAATCCTAACCTCTCCGATTACTTCTAATTCCTTTACTACCTCTACTACTATTGGATTTGAATTGACAATTACATCTCTGTGTTGATGTGGTATGGCAACATGAACTGATGTACTTACGTACGAAGTTCTACGTTGCAACTGACTGACTGACTTTATGACTGATTGTAGACAAACAAATTTTACTCTTAGTTAATTAAATGAGTTTTTATGATTCAAGAAAAAAAAAACTGTACTCCGATTTTAAGATAATAAATATTGATTTTAAATTTTTGAAAAACAACAACAATTCATAAATGATGTGAATTTACCAAGTATGTTTTAATGTAGTTAATTTTTTGGACGACTAATTTAAAAGATTTGTGTATTTGTCGGCAAAGGACAAATAGTTCAAGGTCATTCATCCTTCGCCTCCGTTAATTTCGTCGGTATAATACGTAGACTTACTGAACATTCCATTGAAATGAGAAGGATTTTAATTTTCATTATATGGTTGTGGAAATTGTTGAGTTTTGCTTTGAAACAATGAACTGATTAATGTTAGACTACTATTAGAAACCTGGAAGCACTGGATGGCTGTTTCGTTTTAGTATAGGACTCATCAGCATTGCGCATTCACGACTCCTGTTCGCGGGAATAGAACCTAGGACTTTCGGTTTTGCGCGCGAATGTATTATTGTAAACTTTTATCAGATGGATAACTATCTTTGTCTAAAACTACTCATTTGTATGTGCTTATTAAGTTGTACAAGGTTAAAACCTAGGACTTTCATTAGTTCGTAGTGAAAATTAATTTGATAACTATTATCTACAAAATATACTTACTTAATTACTTACTTACCCCTGTTAACTCTAATAGAGCGTAGGTCTCCAATCAGGGAGTTATTTTTTTGGTTAGCGTTTTTTTCTAGCGAGTTTGATTTCTACGAGAACCATCTTCCTTTATCCGGGCTTCGGACCGGCAATCAGCCAAGCGGAATTATCTGTAATATATATACTACTATTATTATGAAGCTTGATTTATCTTTTATTTTTTTATATTGTAGATAATTTCTCTCAATCTACTAATTCAATGGAAGTACAATATTTTTCCAAAAGTCAAACTAAATCAAATGGTTGGTCTAATAAAACACCTCATCACCATCATCATCATCATTATTCTTCACCTTTGAATTCCCATTCACTTATTCATCATCCTTTGAATTTAGAAGAAGAAGAAGGAGAAGACGACGATGATGATGACGATGATGATGATGAAGATGAAGATGAAATAGAAACTTCACAATACAAATCGATCAATGTAAATGGTGTACATGAAAGTCAACAATACAAAACTATGAATACTACTATTACTACTACTACTACTACTACTACTACTACTAATAATAATAATAATAATAATAATAATCATATTTCAACAATGACAGATAATCATATCAATTCAAAAACTACTTTATTATCAATAAATAATTCCTGTATGTCGGATGAAGTATTGCCTACACAGGATATATCTGATAATAATAATAATAATAATAATAATAATAATAATATTAATAATAATAATAATAATAACAATAATAGCAGAATCGATAATGATGTTGTAGATGAATACTTCCCACCAATATTAACTGAACAAAAATCATTCAGTGTAAATGTTGCAGTACAAACTGATCATCAACCAATTTCATCATGTTGTAATGAAGCATTAACATTGACTGAGAGTTTACCGAATTTATTGTATTCCGATCATTCAACGGATACGAATATTCACACTACTTATGATAATCATAACATGGAGAGTTTAATTGATGCTATCAAATGTGTTTATGCTGAAATGAAAATTGAACAAGCTGAAATGATTGTGAATAATTTAATTGAAAAATTTGCTGAACCATCTGATATGTATACATCTGTAGAGAATCTTCCTAAAGATAATTTATTATTTTATAATATTTATAATACTAACAATACTACTGATAATACTACTGATATTGATGATGTTAGTAATAAGAAGAAAAATGCATCATCCAATCATCAAACAGCCACATCATTTTTCTCACCGATATTTAAATTACTTTTAACTCAATCAGAAACACAAATATTCCCGGATTTATATAAATTAAGTCCATCAGGACGTAAACTCTATGATTTATGCCATCGACTTGCATTTGATATTAGACGAACTAAAAATAAGGTAAGTTTCATAGAGTTTCATAGAGTTCTCTTGTTTATCTTTGTCTAAACTATATTATTCATGTCATTTTAAAACGTATGCTCAATCACTAGCTGATTCGAATAGTGATTTTGTTTGATCTAGGGGTAAGGTTGGAAGAAAGCTAGTGGCGGCTAAACCGAAAAGCATGCCACAAATCGATGAAGTTATTGACAAATGTACTGAGCCATGTTTATAGGTACCAACTACCTGGTTGGGGTCTGCGAGACAATAATAACCGATGGTTAGAGACCTTGAATGACATGGATCAAAATCGTTTTGCAATGGCTCAGGTGCATTCATTGTTTGTATTCTGTAAAATTTTAATCTTCTGAATTCCTCATGACCATCATCTTTAACTTCTTGTATTTATTCTACTGTATTATATTTCTCGAATTGTATTTTTATCCCTAATCTCTCCGATTATCGCTTATGCTTCTACTACCTCTACTAGTATGGAATTTGAATTGACAATTCCATCTCTGTGCTGACGTGGCATGAAAACGTGAACTGATTTACGTACGTTCACACGAAGTTCTACGTTGTAGCTAACTAACTAACTAACTAAGTCTCAATATAAAATCATATCATACATATTTGTATATCTATGAGAACGTGATAATTACTTTTTTCTACAAATAATTGATATAGAGAAATGTGAGTAGATGAGAAAATGAAGTCTTTTAAATAAAAACATTAAAAAAAAATATTTGTCAGATATATTCATTAGAAATTATAGTTTTAAATGATAATTTTTAAAGAAATTGATTCGTTTTTTTTCTGTCTTAATTTTATTGATTATTTACATCATTATCGTGTATATTTTTTTTAGTTTAGTTAAAATTTTCTATGTTCTTCAATCGAATTCATTTTAAATGTTAATTTTTCGAAATTGTAACTAGTGTAGTTCAGACCTATTGAGTGTAGACAGACAGTAAGTAACTGCTGAAGACAATTGGTGAGGTTACTCAAAATTCTTAGATTGTTCAGAGTTATACATTAACGCCGTTAGATGCTGGCTTTGCGGTTAAGCGCTCGCACCAAAGGCCGAATGTCCTGGATTCAAATTTTGCGAGTAGCAAAGGTAGTGGATGTCCTCTGCTGATGAGTAGTCACACACCAGGAGGAAACGGTCGTTCAGTGCTTCCAGGTTTCTCTAGTGATCTAAAAATGACGTCTTCATGAATTGATTTTTATCACTGAAAATTCGAAAACACTAAATGCCCATTCTGGTAGTCAGTTAGACTAGAAGTTAAAAAATGTTTTAGATTGACGTAATTGAAATTCAATAGTAGGAAATTTTCAGTCAGTCAGTCAGTACGTAAAACTTCGTACGTACATACATCCCTTCAAGTGGCCATACCACATTAGCACAGAGATGCAATTATCAATTCAAATCTAATAGTGGTAGATATAGTAGAAGTATTAGGGGTTATGGAGAACATTAGGCTTCGAAGATATTATTCAAGAAGTATATTTCAGTGGAATCAGTTTAACAAGACAAAAAGTGTCATGAGGAATTCAGAAGATTAGAATTTAAAGGATGATAAAGAATGGATGTACCTGAATTATTGTAAACGATTTTCAGCCATATCATTCAAGGTATCCAACCGTCTGTTACTATCGTCTCGCTTACGCCACCAGTAGTAACTGATGGGGGGAATCTTACGACGTATTTATGAGTGTGTCTGTACTTTTGTATTCTATTGTAAATCTTCTGTGTTTATTTCTCTAAAATTTTAATTTATTGACAACTTTCTTGTCTTGAAGTACAAAGTAAAATTGTTGTACTCAAAGTATGTTTTCATGTTTAAGCATAGATATATACATTAGGTATTTAGTCAGAGTGGTCAACTAAACCTTGGCCATGAGATTATCATTTATTCTTAATTATGCACTTTCAGTCTATAGATAATGAATGAATTGCTTTATTCATGGAATTTGATAAAAAAAAAAAATTAAGACCTTTGGAAAACATGAAATTAGTTACTACCACCACTATTATGTTGTTGTTGTTTTTGTTGGCATACATCAACAAAGTGTTTCTTCTTCATAGCCTTGACACACAAAAAAAATCAGATTATTATTGAATTCAAGTTAGTTTATACTCTCTCTTCATATTATAGAACAAACGTGTTACAGTTTACTTGTGCATTATTTAGTTAATAAATAAAAATTGTTATTTGAACACATAAATTTTTTTGTAACCAAATAAATTCTCAAATTGTTGATTAGATTAAAAAGACAATTTAATCACAAAATTTGTGAGATAATAAATAATAAACACTTGATTTGTTTTATGATTTTAAAACCGTTAACAATCATTCATAATTTGAATTCAGTGTTATATACCATCCAGTATAAATCATCATTACGATATCGTATTTGGTTATAAAATTATTTATCTGGTAAATAATAAACATGTTGTACAGAATTCAGCTAAGAAAACAAGCGCTGTAATACAACATTTAAGTGAATATCATTTTTGATTGATTATCAATTGGAATAATAATTCATTTTACTGGATATTTTTTGTGAAATATTTATTGTTTAGATACTTGTTCTGCAAAATCGTTCGTTTTCTTTGTTAAGCCGTTGAATTTCATTGAAATCATGAAGTGATCTATGTTAGATCACGGTTCAGAAGCTGAGTGCGCTAAACGGCTGTTTCTTCCTAGTACGGGCCGCCTTAGCAGTGCACATCCACAACTCCGCACGCGGGGGCCAAGATCAGTCCCACCGGAATGGTGCTACAACGCTTAGCCTCTGAATCACTGAGTCAGCATCCAGCGGTCTCTGTGTCTAGCACCAGTAATGACGTGGATTGATTGTAGTTAGACACTGTTGGATGCTGACTCAATGCTCTAGAGTTTAAGCATTCACGCAAGATTCCTTAGGTTCTGCGTTCGATTCTTGATATGTGGAGTCGTGAATGTGAATTGCCAAGGAGCCTCTTACTAGGAAGAAACAACCTTTTAGAGTATTCAGATTTTCAACGATGGTCTAACTAACATAAATCAGCTCATGATTCTAATGAAATCTTTTTTAATCTAATGTTACCTTTAAAGATAATAGTCACTTAGTGGTTTACAGAGTGTTTTCAGCAATAGAAAGATTGTATTATCTGGTAATTATCTAAGCTGATTACGTAAGAATATAAATGGAAGCTCAGAAATGTCAAACGTAACTGGTAAGAGTTTATATTATTATATTCTATGGTTTTATTGACTGTAGTTTTTCAGTTGCGATTGATCTTTTAAACAAAATGTTAAGTTTGGAATCATGAATCGATCATTGTTAAACCACTATCAGAAATCTGTAAGCTCTGAATAGCCATCATCATGTATATGAACATGCATTGTTGGCTAACATATATGCAGGTTGAAAAAGTGTTAGGGTTTGACAAATTATGATATGACATTAGTCCATAGAGATAGTGACTGCTGATCTGAGATTTATCGAATTGTACATGGTCCCTGGTTTGATATACAAGTTATAAAGGGCAACAGAAACCAATCTACTTAGTTTTCAACTGTGAATATGTAATTTTGATCTTTTTCCGCTGGAATAAGTTCGTTAATAATTTTAGTCGACCAATCAGTCTTACTTTTCATATCACTACATCATTGTGTCAATATGATATTTGTTTGTTTAGTTCTACATCAACAGTCTTTCTCAACTCATAAGAAACTATGTAAAGAAAATAAATGTATTGATGTTACATGGTTCTACAGTGTGGTTTCAACATGTTTTATAAATATCATCCTTAAAGATTTTATACTTTGTGTTATTTGATAATTTATGCTTTAGATAGAAAAAGCAAAGAACTGGTTAGATTATGATATGCTAACATGTAATGAAAGATTTTTTTATGGAAGTAGCTCATATTGATACTTTGAATCTCTCTAGGTGATTTCGTAGAGTTTGTGCCACTCGGTGACTGAAGACGTCATTAGATATCTTCCTAAATAAAAAACCAGTACTGATTCTTTTGTAGTTTTTTGTTACTACACTCTTCATAGAAAGAACAAATGAAACGTTTTTAACTGAACGAGTCTCTTTCTTAAATAAACTGGATCGTTCAGGAAATACCAATGATATTATCTAGTGATTGATTACACGAACTTTTTATCGTCTATTTTATTTGCTTAAAAGAAAAACAAACCGACTACATGCATTATAGGTTTGTGGAGATTGTTGAGCTACTCTTTGAAATCATGAACTGATCAATTTTAGACCACTACTAGAAATCTGAAAGCACCGGACGGCCGTTTCGTCTTGGTTTGGGACTTATGAACAGTGCGCATCTACAGCTCCTGCCACTCACATAATTCGAACTCAGGACATCCGATCTCGTGCGCTAATGCTTAACCTCTGGACTACTGAGCTGTCATCTAACGGTGTTAATGTCTGACTCTGATCAATCTACGGTCTTGCTCATCCTCATCTACTGTCTTCAGTAAGCACCGCTTCTCACTAGTGGGCACATGATAATTTTCATGAAAGGGTTGTTGATATTTTTGAGTTACTTTAAGACCAAGCCTTACAGGTTCCTAATGGTGGTCTAACATTGACTGATTCATCATTTCAATGAAACTCAACAATCTTCATAACTTTATAATAAAATGCAAAAGATATATTATACAGATTGTAAATGTAGTAAAATCAATTACTCAGATAAATACTAATTTCAACTTATAAAATAAAAAAAATTATGTTTAATTTTTTTCATCATTAATAAAGTAGGCATAATATTATTGTTGAAGGGTTTGAGAAAATTAACGAATTGCATAGTTCACAACGTAGACTAACGTTCGTTAGACAACAACTGTTTCAACATGGCATGGGCATATCTATATCGGAGAGTGTGATAATGTACGAAATGTATCATCAAATGGCTTATGAAGATGGGTGAGTAGTGTTTCAGATCTGTTGAAAATAATTATTGGATGACAGCTCAGTGGTCTAAACGTGTTAAACATTACCTAGTAAGCCTGAGGGTTTTAGATTTAATCCTCTATGCAATTGTAAATGTGCAATTTTTAATGATCTTGTGTTGATTAGTTCCAGTCCTTGATATGGACTATATAAGAAATAAATAGTATTCACTTTCATCATAATTTTATGGAAATTTTATTTAATTTAAGCATGATTTTTGTTATAGATAAGGAATCTGTCTGAGAGTTGAAGATATTCATAGGTTGCTTGTTTTTGATCATAGGTGTCTCCGAAACATTGTTCGTGTATCATGGGACAACTGAGTAAGCGATGCTGTTGTTAGGAAAAGTGTGCTAGGTAAGTATGGCAGATCAGCGGATGAAGTATTGAAACCTCATCAGCTGAGTTGGCTGGGGCGTATGCCTAACCGCTAACATAAATTTTATTTGTTTGGACTACAAACATTTTAACGTGATGTAATTCAGTAAGTCATGTATCAATCAGTCTTTGGGAAGACATTTTAGGTACTTTTGAAAATCACTCGTTTCTGATTACTTACTTACTTACTTAAGCCTGTTAACCCCAATGGAGCATAGGCCGCCCACCAGTTTTCTCCAACCAACTCTGTCCTGGGCTTCCCGCTCCAGTTCTGTCCAATGTTTGTTCATTCTTCTCATATCTTTCTCTATTTCTCGGTGTAGTGTGTTCCTTGGCCTTCATCTTTTCCTTTTGCCTTGAGGGTTCCATGTGAGGGCTCGTCTCGTGACGTAGTTAGGTGCTTTTCGCAATGTGTGTCCTATCCACTTCCACCGCTTCTTCCTGATTTCTTCCTCCACTGGAATCTGGTTTGTTCTTTCACACAGTAGGTTGTTGCTGATAGTGTCTCGCCAACGTATCCGAAGTATTTTGCGTAGAGAACTGTTAATAAACACTTGTATCTTCTGGATGATGGCTTTAGTAGTTCTCCATGTTTCCGTTCCATACAGTAGAACTGTATTGACATTTGCATTGAAAATGCTGATTTTGGTTTTGGTTGATATTTGTTTGGGGTTCCAGATAGTTTTCAATTGTAGAAATGCGGCCTTTTCTTTGCCGAACCTCACCCTCATATCTGCATCGGATCCACCTTGGTTGTTGATGATGCTGCCCAGATATGTAAAGGTGTTAATGTCCTCCAAGGCATCTCCATCAAGAGTGATTTGGTTGGTGCATGTTGTGTTGCATCGGAGAATTTAGCTTTTCCTTTATGTGTGTTGAGACCTACTGCTGCAGAGGCTGCTGCTACACTGGTCGTGTTTTCTTGCATTTGTTGTTGCGTGTGAGATAGAAGAGCCAAGTCATCTGCGAAGTCCAGATCGTCCAGCTGCGTCCTAACTGTCCAGTTGATACCGTGCTTCCCTCCAGATGTCGACGTCTTCATAATCCAGTCGATGACCAGGAGAAAGAGAAAGGGTGAGAATAAGCAACCTTGCCTGACACCGGTCTTCACCTCGAAAGAGTCTGTTAGCTGTCCTCCGTGTACGATTTTGCAGTTGAATCCATCATAAGAATTCCGTATGATGTTGACTATTTTCTCAGGCACGCCGTGGTGTCGAAGAAGCCTCCACAGTGTTTTCCTATCCACGCTATCGAATGCTTTCTCGCAGTCGGATGAAGTTTATGTAGAGTAGTGAGTTCCATTCAATTGATTATTCCACAATGATCCCTTAATGTAGCAATTTGTTCAGTACACGATCGATCTAGCCTGTTAATCTCGAAGTTGGGCGTCTACGAAGTCCTTCATTCTGTTTAACAATACCCTGTTGAAGACTTTGCCTGGTATTGAAAGAAGAGTGATGCCTCTGTAGTTCTCACACTTGCTGAGATCGCCTTTCTTTGGTATTTTGATGAGATATCCTTCTTTCCAATTTGATACATTCACTGTTTATATTCATTAGGTATTTGTCATCACTTTAATTATGATAATAGGAAATGAAGACAAAGTGCTAATTAATAATAATAATAATAATTTGAAATCTATTAGATATCTAGGTGCTTTCTGTTCAGATTACAATTTTTTCGATATAATTACTGTTCTAACATGGATTGTCTGAAGAAAATACCCTCACTAACATGTTATTTGATCTCAATAGTTCGGTGGATAAACACGTTAACATTTGAACCAAATACGCACTAAGTATTAGTCTCACTGTAAATAATTTATATGATATGGTTTAAAATCAATGATATAATTATCGAATACAAATGAGAATCCAATAGTTATTTTACAAACTTATCAACGATGGTCTAACTTATTTAACTGGAAGACAATGAAAAGCAAAGTGGTATTGCTCAATACTGGTCAAGATTAAATAAAAGGTCTCATATGTTGAGTAAAATGATAATTTGTAAATCCATACAGATTTTTCAGTCAATATTGCAATTGTGAAACTGTAAGTCAATGAAACAAAGGAAACTATATACATTACTCAAATTTAATGAGTTTTAACTAAATTTCGTTCTTATGATCGATATTGACGAAAGGGATGAAAAAGGCTAAGAATGGCCATAACGTGATACTATGTCTATATATATATATATATATATATATATATATATATATATATATATATCAAATAGAGGACTGAATTTTGTATCTTAATAAATAATGCTTAGCATTAAACGTAATAATAAACACTGAATTCCAGTGTGAATTGTAAACATTAACACTGGAGAATATAGAATACATGTAGTTAACACATTCCTCAACTATTCTATTCTATTGTTCTACTGTTTGCCAAAGTCGATTTATTTGATGTTTTCACACACACACACACACACACACACAATTATTTATGTAAATGCACTCTCAATAGACAATGGGAATTTTACATTGGTTTACCTCGAGGAACCAAACACTGTCCACATGTTAACACCACTACTACAACAACTTGAACAATACAGCTCAATCGTGTGTGTGTGTGTGTGTGTTTGTAAAGATGATATGATAACATATAATGTAGTTTTATAAAATTATCTAAATAACATCAGTTATTAGCAAAATATTTATCAAGATTATATGAGTTTTTTTGTAATTTATCTAACTGTCGATGTGATTATTTTAGAATGGAAAAAAAGGTAAAAAAAAAATCACTTATTACACTACTTATACATAAATGAATATTTTATCACTGAGACATTTTTTTTAAAATCTATCTAAATTACATACATAAAACAATGAGAAATCATCATCAACTAAGCATTGATTATTGATTTAGAAATTATCTATTTGATGTGAAGTGTTAGATAATTAAAAAGAAATTTTTTTTTATTCTAGTATAATTCAAAGTGCATTACGGAGTTGTGAAGATTGTTAAGTTATACATTTTTGAAGAGTCCCATACCTGGACGAAACAGGCCGTCCAGTGCTTCCAGGTTTCTAATAGTGGTCTAACATTGATCGATTCATGGTTTCAAAAATGTATAATTCAAAGTGTATATTACACTTTTTATAATCGGCTAGCTATTACTAAGGTTATTTTCAATGTTCTTTTCCTATAGAATATGAATAATTCTCCACTAGGTAAATTAGGACAGCATGAAAAAGAAAATTTACGTGAACATTATAATTTAGAGTTAATTGTTGGTCAGGTTTTCTTTGTTTTTAAAAAAAATATGAAATGTACAGTAATATTTATTTACATAAAAGAAAACTTTCTGTTGGATTTGAGCCACTTTGGTACTACTTATTCTAGGTGGTCACATAAAAATTCAATGATGTGTGTATTTTTGGTAGCCCTTTGAACCAGTGGTTTATGAGTGCATAAATGAAATATATGTTTAACCAGTCAAGACAGTTGATATATCAATGATAATAAATACAGCACTTAACCTCTAGACACCACTCTGTCGGCATACGACGATGTTAACGTATATCTTTAATCAATCCACTACAATGTACGATTATTTTCCTACTGTTTCCAGTGGTTAACTGTCTCACAGCTCGACACGGTTGAACTTCCTACTATTCATTGCTTTTGACTAGAACTCTGTGAATTTTCTTGTCGAAGCCAGTCATCAGTGAGCTACATGATAATTATCAAATAAATGGTTAAGACGACCATCATTTCAATGATGATCTAACTTAGATCGGTCCGTGAAATCGAACAATATCCACTATTATTTTACTGACAATAATAGTACTTTTGAGATCATGAATCGACCAAAGTTAGACCACCATTAGAAACCTGGAAGCACCGGACGGCCGTTTCGTCCTGGTATTAGACTTATCAGCAGTGCACACCCACAACGTCTGCGCCTCGCAGGATTCGAACTCAGGACCTTCGGTATTGTGTGCTAACGTCTAACCTCTGGACCAATGAGCCTTCATCTGACTGTGTTAATGTCTAACTTCGATCAATTCACGGAGTTACGCAACCTCATATATTGTCTTCAGTAGTTACTGTCTACATCCGAATAGGTTGAACTTCACTGGTCACGACTTCCCACTAGAACTCGGAGAAGATTCCTCAAGGAGCTAGTGACCAGTGAGCACAGCTAATTACGGGGTTGTGATTTCAAATGTGTAACTTGACAATCTTCACATAACATTAATAATTATTATTAACAAACATATTATGTGAAATATGAAGGATGAGTGTACGATTAGGAATAAGAAAAATGTCTTGGAAAGCAGTGCATATCATAGTAAAGAGAACGGCATAAAACTGGTACTAAGAAATCAGGAAGATTTTCACTTATTCATTCATTAAGTTGACGTATCCAGTATATCAACATGGATGGTAAGAGTAGAGGACATTTGTAGGTTATTAGTATTCGATTATAGATGTCTACGAAGCATTGCCCATATATCCTGGGACAGACGAGTAAACAATGCAGTTGTTAGGAGACGGGTACTAGGTAAGGATGACAGGTCAACAGATGAAGTATTCATTTGATGTGGTTGGGACATGCCCGACCACCGACTGTCTCGAAGAGCGGTGTTTTGTGGTCTAAGAGTAGGTTGGAAGAAAGCTAGGAGCGGTCAAACCAAAACATGGCCTAAATTCCTTAAGTCACTGACAAGTGGTCTAAGTCATGTTGGTATGTCGACTACCTGCTTGGGTTCTATGAGACGAAAGTCACCGATGGTTATGGGCCTTGAACGACATGGCTCAGAATCGTTTGCAACGACGCAGGTGCATTCATTCATTGTGTTTTCTCAAATTCTGAGCTCCTGAATTCCTCATCATCTCTTTCTTTCTCTTTCTAAAGTTATCTCACTGAATTATACTTGTCGAATCATATCTTCGAACCCTAAGCTTCTCCATTATTGCTGATACTTCTACTATCGCTACTACTATGGGATTTGAACTGACAGTTGCGTCTCTGTGCTGATGCCGTATAGCAACCTGAACTTGTGTATTCATGTACGAAGTTCTACGGTGTAGCTGACTGACTGACTGACTGACTTTCCATTATATCATTCTTCATAGAAGCAATTGAATTTTTTATGTATGCATCAAAAAGGCAAAATCATATAGCTTATTCTATTAAATAGGTGTGATTTTATCTTCATGTATTTTGTAAACTTTCAATTTGAATCCATTTCTTTCTTGTACTTTTCTTTTTACAGTTACGTATATTGTATTGCAAAAAATGCGAACTAAACAATCCAATCATATTAATACAACTACAGCTACAACTTCTGCTACTACTTTGAATACAATAACAACAACAGCAAATACCGCCAATGCTAAAACAATCAGTAACGCACAAAATAATAATATTCCGTTGAATTGTCACAAATCTTTCAATAATTCATTACAAATCTCTCAACAGAATCGTCGTAATGCTTTCATTCATTATTTACAAGATATATGCAAAACTTGTGAAATGCCTAAATCCACGACAACAACGACAACACCACCAACAGCTACGCCAACGACAACAGCTACAACAACCGTTGATTGTGATGATCTTGGTCAATGTCAACAATATGCTAAAAATGCTCATTGTCATCACTGTGAACATAATGATAATAATAATAATAATAATATTAATCAATCGGAAAAATATGAAAAATATTTAGAACAGCTACTTATCACATCGAATAATAGTCTCAATCATGCTGCTTCTACTATTACTACTGTGAATAATAACAATAATGTCAATCGTCAATGTCCAGCACCAACTTATACAAATCCATTAAATTGTCCATTATCTATGCTATCTTTTGTAAGTAATTTAAATAAAATCGATAATACAGGAAGAGTAAATGAGAATAATAATGATTGTGATTATGATGATGATGATGATCAAAACGAAAACCTAGTAGAAGTAGTTCCTACAGAGGTGGAGAAAACTGATCAACGCCGAAGACGACCACGACGTCAACGACAATGTCGACGACAGCCACAACAACCGAAACAACAGCATCGCTATCGACATCGACCACAGAAACAAGCACAAGGAAGCGAGAAATGTCAACAGAATAAACAACAATGCCCATCTTTACCTAATAATCACGATAATGATAAAATAGACTGTGAAATTTTGTCCATTCCATTCTCTTCTTTTGTATCATCCACGTCGCCTTCATCACCATCATCATCATTATATACTATCACTATCGAAATTAGTAAGTTATTCTATAAATGTATGTATATATTTTCTAAATGATTACAACTTCATGTGGACAGTTTTTCTGAAGTTATAAAGTTGTCTAGTCAATATTACTAATAATAATAAACATGTAATTTGTTAATAGATTTCCAATTCACTAAGTATATCAGTCAGTCAGTCAGATGCAACGTAGAACTTCGTACGTAAGTACATCAGTTCATGTCTCCATACCAGACCACCACGACCACCACGTCAAGGTAGCAGCTACGGTCGGGTTCACTAAGTTTATATGTACATGTTGTATGGTAGAAGGGTAGTAATAGACATGAAAAAGTAGGGGCCTTGATGTTACGCTTATTGGTATTTGTTAATAAGGTATACAATGTAATCTGAATTGAACTGATTCTCATTAGAATGCAGGTACATACACTGATTGATTATTGACGAATGGCTAATTAAAGGCATGCCATGTGACTTTAACTCAGAAATTTAAATATATCATATTTCCGTGGAGAAATGATCGTCTTTCTTTTGACCATAAACTATACATTGTGGGAAAATGTCAACTATCCAACTTTTTTCTAGCTTGCTCAATTTAACTCAGTCTGTAGTAAAAATTATGTGTTAGTGTATATTTAACAAATAAACAATCTAGAGATTGGGAACCAACACCTACTGGAGAATCAACGTTACTATATGAAAAAAACTGTGGATTCTAACCCCAGCGGTAGTATGATAATAGATAGATTGTTTTTGGACGGTATTGGGGACGTAAGATCACGAGAATTCACTTGGAAAAAGGTCCTAATTTTCGATTTTTAATGTTTCGTGCATAAGCTGCCTAGCTGACCTTCAGATTACATTTCTCACTCGGAAAATCCTTGACTGTCTTCGGTTGATGGATCATTTTAGTAGGCTATTTTTGTGGCTCTCGTAATAGTTCAAACTTATCAATTGACGAGCATATCGGACAGATAGAAAAAATATGAAAAGATTTATCGATCTAACTTTATTGTTAACTAATAGCATCGAAACAGACCATAAGGTTGATTATAATTCAGACTTTATATTTTCGTACAAACGTTATCCGGAGTGCAGAATAAGGTTTATTGAAGACTTATCTGTAGGAAAATTTCAACTCATTTTTGTTCTTTTCCTAAACTTTTTCTTCATAATATTGTTTGATTAATTTTTTTGCACACTGCAGTCATCAATCAGTCATTGTTAGACCACCACTGATTGATGAAATCAATGTTAAAAAAACACTAATCTCCATAACTCTGCTTGAAGAAAAATGGTAAAATGTGCTCACTAGTGATTAGCTTCGTGAGGAAATTTCCGGAGTTTTAGTGAGCAGCCGTGACCAGTAGAGTTCAAACCTGTCGGATGTATGCAGTAACTACCAAAGACCAATGGGTGAGGTCAGGCAAAATCTATAGATTGATCAGGGTTAGACATTAACAGCGTTGGATGCTGGCTCAGTGGTCCAGAGATTAGGTGTTGGCGCCGAAGGTCCTGGGTTCGAATCATGCCAGGTGCTGGAGTCGTGGATGCGCAGTGCCACTGATGAGTCCCATACCAGGACGAAACGGCAGTCTTAACAGTGCTTCCAGGTTCCTAATGGTGGTCTAACAATGATTGATTGATGACTTCAATGTGCAAAAAGCACTAGTCTCCATTACTTTAATATTGAAAAACTGTTTTAATTATCCAGTGTGATAAGTTTCACAATCTTTTCATTTGTTATCTGTTACATTTCAGTTTGTCTTAGTTGACCTTTTATTATTATTATTTTTTATATCTAAATAGTTCTATAACAGGTATGTGTGTGTATGATAAGTTTATTTAAAATGTACTACATTATTACATCACATTGATTGATTGAATAGTCATCTTTTTATTGCATTGTCCAAATTTTTTAAACCTAATTAATTGTTTTAAAATTCAGCATTTGTTTGATTAAAGTTTAAACTTTAATTCCAAAATAGAATCATCCAACTCTTTTATCTATTCTTGATTTCCAATAATCCTTACAAATTCGTTAAAAAAATACGTTTTTTCTAAAAACAAATGTCGGTTTTTACATATATGATAAATTGTATTTGAATGATATAATTGTTAGGATATTCATCCAAGATCCTAAGAGAATTGTCGGTAAATTCCTACTGGTCAATTTTACGGTCGTCCTAGATATCGATGTCACGTGCTCCAATGTTGTTTCGTATTGGTCGTCTTAACTGTCAATGTCACAGACTTCGATACTCTTTCCTATTCGACCTAAGTGGATAAATACGCATTATCTGTAACGTATTATGACCCGGACCGGATCCCTAGTCCGGGATCCTGATTCTCTTCCTCGTACTTTCTGGATGATTGTAGAATACATGTTCTACTTCATATCAAGTCTTCTTCTTTTATTCAATGGGGGTTGGGACACTCGGATTAGAGTAGCATGTCGTGTCACCGGATCCTCGATCCTCGCTCTCGTTTTCCAACTAAGGCAAACTCGTAATACTGGTTCAAGCATATCAAGTTGACGTGTTTACGTGCATGCGTAACAATAACCAATCATTAATGTTTGTCACTTCACAACTGTATAGTGAAAAATTATAAAAATGTACTCATTAGTGACTCGATTCGCGGGGAAATTCTCGGAGTTCTAGTAAGAAGACATAACCAGTGGTGTTGAACTCTTTTAGGTGTAGTCGCAGTTACCCATCGAATACAATGGGTGAGGTTGCGAAATACCTTGGATTGATTAAATTTAGACATTGACACCGTTGAATACCGGCTCAGTGGTCTAGATGTTAGCTGTTCGAGTACAAGATATTAGGTCCTGAGTGCAAATCCTGCAAGTGGTGGTCTCGTATGCGCACTGCTGATGAGTAGTTACATACTAGGACGAAACAGCCGTCCAGTACTTGTAGGATTTCTAATGGTGGTCTTACAATGATCGATTCATGATTTCAATGTAAGTTTAGATAGTGTGAATCAATCATACATTCAAGTTTTACTTTACTTATCTGAATATGAAATTTTATAGTAATCATTATAAATTACCTGAACCTATTTAACAACAAATAAACTACATATTTATTAGCTATTTCTCTCTATTAAATGATTTTATTTTATAAAAGTACTAAACTTTTTAAATACTAAAACTGATTACCCTAAAATCCATTTAATTTATTGATCCTGTATTTAAAATGTTTAAATGGAGATCAATAAATCTTTTTTCTAAATTTGTCTGTTCGTTCATGATATTTTTTCTTACAAGATTAATTATTCTGTCCATTATGATCAAATATGGTTAGACAATATTACACAAAGAAACATTTATGATCTATGATAGATAAGTACATAAATAGTGTTTTATTGACTGACGACTGGTAAACTTACTGTCTAGTGTATTTATATAAGTTTCATTGAAATTTCGAACCGATCATTGCTGGACTACAACTAGAAACTTAGAAGCTCTGGACGGCCGTTTTGTCCTATCCAGTGCGCATCCATGGCCACCGCTCACGTGAATCGAACTCAGCACCTTTGGTGCTACACACGAATGCCTAACGTTTTAATCACTGAGCTGATGTTAACGTCAATCCAAGTTCGTGAATGTGCACTATTGATGGGTTACATATTAGGACGAAACAACGTTACACTGCTTCCAGGTTTCCAATGCTGGTCTAATATTGATTGACTCAAGATCACAATGAAACATCAGTTTTGTTTGGTTTCAATAGAAGAATAGGTGAATTAGCTTATTTACATATTGAATTGAATTACCGTCCAATCTAAACTAAATGTAACTGAATGTCATTATGCAGTGGTTTTCATATATGTGATATGTAATACCTCTTGTCTTTCTGTTTCGTTAGTGTTCATAGATAAAATTCAATAATTGACTTCTTAAAATCAAATCTCAATCGGCACTATTGGGTTTATTTCATGCCTTAAGGATAGTTAACTATCTATTATATGCTTTAGATGAATTTATATTTTCCTCAAATAAGTTATTTTATTTACATGAATTATCTTTTATCTGAATTAATTTACTGAATTATCGAATATGGTTCATTTTCCAAATTATATCAACTTGTCACACAATAACTTGTTTATCAATTAATTCTGACTGTTTATCAATTCAGACGTCAGTAGACTATGTTCAAACCATTCTTAAATTCAATTATTGGATGGCAGATTTGAATGTACCTGCATTAATTATCATAGTCTATTGGTAGTATTCACTTTTGTACAAACACTTTGATTCATATCTAAGTATATAACCTAATCAATGAGTTGGATTCATTTTTTTCCGTTATTTAACCATTCAATGATTGATTAATTTATTTACCTCATTTACTAGGTACATATTAGTATACTAAGTTAAAAACCGCACTTCAATTATTGAAAGCTGATGATGCTTCCTGATTGTTTGAATCAATGTAAATAGGTAGATTGGTGTTTTAACCTGAGGTTCTATAGCTAACTAAAATTGGAAAACTTTAGCTACTGATCGATCTCTCCAAGGTATTAAGAATTATGTGGCAATACTTTTCAGTACAAATTATTGTTTGTACTGCTAGTGGTAGGGAGTGAAGTAGTCGAGCGTGTTGACCGCTTCACTTATCTTGGGAGTCTCATCAGTGCCGATGGCCTGGTGACTGACGAAATCTCAGCACGGATACAGAAGGCTCGATTGGCTTTTGCCAACCTGCGTCACTTATGGCGTAGGCGAGATATCCGTTTGCTGACTAAAGGACGAGTGTACTGCGCAGTAGTTTGCTCCGTTCTCCTATATGGCTGTGAAACAAGGCCAGTGAGAGTAGAAGATATTCGTAGGTTACTGGTTTTCGATCGTCAGTGTATCCAGAGCATTGCTCGTTTATCTTGGGAGACCCGAGTTAGCAGCGCTGTGATTGGGAAAGGGGTACTAGGTAAGAATGGCAGATCAATAGATGAAGTAGTGATACTTCATCAGTTGAAGTGGTTGGGACGTGTGTTGCGCGTGACTAATCACCGACTGCCTCATCAAGCTATATTTTGCGGTGTAGGAATAGGTTGGAAGAAAGCTAAAGGCGGCCAAACCAAAACATGGCAGAAATGCATGAAGTCACTGACAACTGGACTAATTCATGTCGGTAGTTGTCGACTACCTGGTTGGGATCCACGAGGTGATAATAATCAATGGTTAGAGACTCTGAATAACATGGCTCAAAACCGTCTACAATTGTGCCGGTGCATTTATTCTTTGTGTTCTCTGCAATCCTAATGTTCTGCATTTGTCAACACCTCTACCTTTCTCTTTCTAAAGTCATCTCACTGAATCATACTTCTTGAATAATATCTGCTAATCCAAACCTCTCCGATTACTTCTAATACCTTTACTACCTCTTCTACTATTGGATTTGAATTGACAATTATAGCTCTGTGCTGATGTGGTATGGCAACATGAACTGATGTACTTACGTACGAAGTTCTACGTTGCATCTGACTGACTGACTGAGTACAAATTATTGTACATTTAAAAATTAAGATGTCATAAAGATACAAAAGTATTACATCACTTTCATATGATTTTCATTTACATGAAATCCTATAATTCCAAGGATTTATGATAAAAATGTTAATTTTTAAGTTGATTTTATTAAGAGTTTTGAATATCAAGAAAGACACATCGAACTAACAAGTCATAAATAGGATTAGTGTGTTTTGAATTTCTCTGTTAGCGATAATTATCTATCGATTAATTTTTAATTGCTTCCTAGAACTGTCTCATTTTAAGTTTCCTTTCTATATTTCTATTTTATTTATTAGTAGAGAGTAATAAAAATATAATAATTGTAATGGTTCTCAAGCAGAGTTTATCATAGACCAACATCAGCTACAGGAAATATATATATATATATATATATATATATATATATATTACCATTCGTACGACTGGATTTAGCAACTTAAAATTCGATAGAGTAAACAAAACACCAAACCACAATATGCGAATCTAATGGTTCACATTTCCAACTTCATTCTATTTGTTATCTGTGAATTTACCATCATAGGGATGTATTTAATTTTTTATTCTTCCTTATTTCACACTTTTTATTCCTTTTTTATGAAGTATTCCTATGAAACCGATAGAAACATGTTTCGGTACTCTGTGTTTATGGGGAGTTGTTAGGAGTCGGCGGAAAGTTCATGTATCTATGTAGCTATCAGCAGTTCGCTCTGTTCTCCTATATGGTTGTGAAACATGACCGGTAAGAATAGAAGATATTCGTAGGTTACTAGTTTTCAATCATAGTTGTCTTGGAAGCATTGCTCGTGTATCATGGAACAACCGAGTGAGCAATGCTGTCGTTAGGAAACGAGTTCTAGGTAAGGATGGAAGATCAGTAAATGAAGTGGTGAAACTTCAGCAGTTGAGGTGGTCGGGACATGTGTTACGTGTGTCTAACCACCGACTGCCGCGACGAGCTATGTTTTATGATGTAGAAGTAGGTTGGAATAAAGCTAGGGGCAGTCAAAGCAAAACATGGCACAATTCCATGTAGTCACTGACAAGTGGACTGAGTCATTTTGGTAGGTGCAGGCTACCTGATTGAGATCCGCGAGACGATGATTAGAGACCTTGAAATGGCTCAAAAAATCGTTTGCAATGAATCAGGTGCATTCATTCTTTGTGTTCTCCCAAATTGTAATCTTATGAATTCCTCAACACCTGTACCTTTGTCCTTTCAAACTTACCTCATTAAATTATACTTCTAAAATAAAACCTTCAAATCCTAATCTTCTCCTTTACCAGTAGTACTTCTACTATCTCTACCACTATGGGATTTGAATTGACAATTGCGTCTCTGTGCTAATGTGGTATGGCAACATGAACTGATGTACTTACGTACGAAGTTCTACGTTGCAGCTGACTGACTGACTATGTAGCTGTGTGATTGCTGGCGGCTACGTGGTTGATGTCATCAGTGTACATAGATTGAAAGCTAGAGTGGAGTATTTCCAATCTAAGCCATCTGATATGCCGTTTTGACGTTAGTCTATGTATAAACAATAAATGTTTTCGGGACCTGACCAGCCATTTAGTCTGTAACAACGTAGAACTTCGTACATACGCACATCACTTCAAGTTGCCATACCACTATAGGACAGAGACGCAATTGTCGATTGAAATCCCACAGTAGTAGAGATAGTAGAAGTATGAACACTAATCGGAAAGATTAGTGTTTTGAAGATGTTAGTCAAGGAGTATGATTCGGTTAAATAAATTTGAGAACAGAAATATGAGGATTATGATTAATTAAGATTAGAATCTAACCTCTTCAAGTTGAAGACGTTTGACGACTCTATGCATTCGACCACTGTTGTCTACAAACGATTGCCGACGTCATATAGCAACATCGTATTAGTAATATTAAGATTTAACGTACGTTCTGAAATCAAGCAAAGAATTCAACGAGTGTCACCATCTTTGAACCTGGTTTTGATATGTAGGACGTGTATTACAAATGAAACCTTAGAATCTTCCATATCATGTACTGATTCCCGACGCCTGAATGAGGTGGAAAAAACTTAAAGGTGACCAGTTTTTTGGCATAACACCACAGATGCACAGGATTGCAGTTTATCGGTCGATCACCATTCTCTAGCTGAGGTTTAAGGCACAATCTAACTCAATCGTTTGAAGTGTTATCTGATATGATTCAGAATTTCAGATTCTTTCTTAAGAATTCTTCATATGAATAAACGGAATTCCTTTAACTAAAAAAGTTCCCAGTTGTATTTGTTTAACTATGAAACCTTCCTCTATGTCTGTTCATAATTTCTTTTCCATACTTATATGGCGTATATTTATTTCTCTTTAGTGCCCAAATCTACCTGTTGTGTTCATGTATGTTAAATAAATAAAAATATTTTTATTCTTTGTTTTAAATATTTTTTTTAAACCGCCACTAGTTTTCTGGTATAATTCTAATTCTCTTTAATATTTACTTATTTCGTTATTTATTATTCTAACTGTACGCATATTGTTCTGATAAAACAATTTGATCAAATTCACATTGTTCATATTAATTTTCATGTTTCAAGAAAAATCTTGATTACAATTCAATCGGGTTCTCTTTTGTTTATTTTTTTTTGATTCATTTGTATTTATAGTTTGAATTTTCACATTCACACTTCAGTTGATCAGTCTGTTTGTTTGTTTTTTCGGTACAAATAGGCATCCTGTAAAAATTACCTTAATATCGTCATTATATTACTGCTTAAATTATGAGTCAAAATCATTGACAAACCACTGTCATAAACCTGGAAGCACTGAACAGGCGTTTCATTCCTAGTATTGTAACTCAATGGTCTGAAAGTTGAGCATTCTTGTGTGTGATACCAATAGTCTTTGGTTCAATTCCCTTGAGCAGGTTATATGGTTGTACATTGTGGATGAGTTGCATATTAAGACAAAATGGGCTGTTCAATGCTTCTAGGAAGATTTTTTTAATGATAGCCTAACAATGATCACTTTATCGTATTCCGTTAAAGTTCATTATTTACTTTTTTTTGTTAAAATTAAAAAAAATTCATTTAACCATTGGTGGTTCATTTTTTTTTTTTAAATTTTTAAAACAAAATTCAATCATTCATGTTATAAGTAGAGCAAAAACATAATTCCAATTGATACAAATAATTATCATGTCATTCATTCTTTTACTCTTAACTTTTTTTTCATAGAAGAAACAATACAGAAAAAAATGAGAGAGACACACAAAGAGACAGAGAGAAAGAGAGTGTGTACTAACTACATTGTGACATAATTTTTTTTCTCTTTCAATCTAATGCTAAAATAGTTTTTTCCTTAATGAACACTTTTTCTCTCTCTAATAAATTCCATAGATTCTCTCTTTTATTCTTATTCTTATTTTCTCTTTGTTAAATAATGACTGGATTTTTAGAATTCTTCAATTAAGAAATATATATATATATATATAATCTCTGATTTAATTAATTATCTATTGTTTAGTCTAATTTAAAAAATAATATTAATGATATTTTAACATTAAATATAGAGATCACTAGTGAAGAACAAAGAAAACTATTATGACTCGTTAATCGATAGGCTTGAATGCTAATACGAGTTCATCTTTGTCGGTAAACGCGAACGAAGACAAATGGTCCAATGACATGATAGGCTAATCTAATCCGAGCGTCCCAAGCCCTCACTAATGGTATCCAAAAGTCTTGATATGAAGTAGGGAGTATATTCTACAAGTACCCACAAAATATGAGGTTTTGTACAGAAGTAAAAGAAGTAGGCTCATAAAACTTTACAGACAATGTATAAATATACATTGTCTGTAAAGTTTTATGAGCCTACTTCTTTTACTTCTGTACAAAACCTCATATTTTGTGGGTACTTGTAGAATATACTCCCTACTTCATATCAAGACTTTTGGATACCATTAGTGAGGGCTTGGGACGCTCGGATTAGATTAGCCTATCATGTCATTGGACCATTTGTCTTCGTTCGCGTTTACCGACAAAGATGAACTCGTATTAGCATTCAAGCCTATCGATTAACGAGTCATAATAGTTTTCTTTGTTCTTCACTAGTGATCTCTATATTTAATGTTAAAATATCATTAATATTATTTTTTAAATTAGACTAAACAATAGATAATTAATTAAATCAGAGATTATATATATATATATATATTTCTTAATTGAAGAATTCTAAAAATCCAGTCATTATTTAACAAAGAGAAAATAAGAATAAGAATAAAAGAGAGAATCTATGGAATTTATTAGAGAGAGAAAAAGTGTTCATTAAGGAAAAAACTATTTTAGCATTAGATTGAAAGAGAAAAAAAATTATGTCACAATGTAGTTAGTACACACTCTCTTTCTCTCTGTCTCTTTGTGTGTCTCTCTCATTTTTTTTCTGTATTGTTTCTTCTATGAAAAAAAAGTTAAGAGTAAAAGAATGAATGACATGATAATTATTTGTATCAATTGGAATTATGTTTTTGCTCTACTTATAACATGAATGATTGAATTTTGTTTTAAAAATTTAAAAAAAAAAATGAACCACCAATGGTTAAATGAATTTTTTTAATTTTAACAAAAAAAAGTAAATAATGAACTTTAACGGAATACGATAAAGTGATCATTGTTAGGCTATCATTAAAAAAATCTTCCTAGAAGCATTGAACAGCCCATTTTGTCTTAATATGCAACTCATCCACAATGTACAACCATATAACCTGCTCAAGGGAATTGAACCAAAGACTATTGGTATCACACACAAGAATGCTCAACTTTCAGACCATTGAGTTACAATACTAGGAATGAAACGCCTGTTCAGTGCTTCCAGGTTTATGACAGTGGTTTGTCAATGATTTTGACTCATAATTTAAGCAGTAATATAATGACGATATTAAGGTAATTTTTACAGGATGCCTATTTGTACCGAAAAAACAAACAAACAGACTGATCAACTGAAGTGTGAATGTGAAAATTCAAACTATAAATACAAATGAATCAAAAAAAAAATAAACAAAAGAGAACCCGATTGAATTGTAATCAAGATTTTTCTTGAAACATGAAAATTAATATGAACAATGTGAATTTGATCAAATTGTTTTATCAGAACAATATGCGTACAGTTAGAATAATAAATAACGAAATAAGTAAATATTAAAGAGATTAGAATTATACCAGAAAACTAGTGGCGGTTTAAAAAAAAATATTTAAAACAAAGAATAAAAATAATTTTATTTATTTAACATACATGAACACAACAGGTAGATTTGGGCACTAAAGAGAAATAAATATACGCCATATAAGTATGGAAAAGAAATTATGAACAGACATAGAGGAAGGTTTCATAGTTAAACAAATACAACTGGGAACTTTTTTAGTTAAAGGAATTCCGTTTATTCATATGAAGAATTCTTAAGAAAGAATCTGAAATTCTGAATCATATCAGATAACACTTCAAACGATTGAGTTAGATTGTGCCTTAAACCTCAGCTAGAGAATGGTGATCGACCGATAAACTGCAATCCTGTGCATCTGTGGTGTTATGCCAAAAAACTGGTCACCTTTAAGTTTTTTCCACCTCATTCAGGCGTCGGGAATCAGTACATGATATGGAAGATTCTAAGGTTTCATTTGTAATACACGTCCTATATATCAAAACCAGGTTCAAAGATGGTGACACTCGTTGAATTCTTTGCTTGATATCTGAACGTACGTTAAACCTTAATATTACTAATACGATGTTGCTATATGACGTCGGCAATCGTTTGTAGACAACGGTGGTCGAATGCATAGAGTTGTCGAACGTCTTCAACTTGAAGAGGTCAGATTTGAATCTTAATTAATCATAATCCTCATATTTCTGTTCTCAAATTTATTTAACCGAATCATACTCCTTGACTAACATCTTCAAAACGCTAATCTTTCCGATTACTCTTCATACTTCTACTATCTCCACTACTATGGGATTTCAATCGACAATTGCGTCTCTGTGCTATAGTGGTATGGCAACTTGAAGTTATGTGCGTATGTACGAAAATCTACATTGTTACAGACTAAATGGCTGGTCGGGTCCCGAAAACATTTATCGTTTATACATAGAATAACGTCAAAACGGCATATCAGATGGCTTAGATAGGAAATACTCCACTCTAGCTTTCAATCTATGTACACTGACCACATTAACCAATTAGCCGCCATCACTCACATAGCTACATAGTCAGTCAGTCAGCTGCAACGTAAGTAAGTACATCAGTTCATGTTGTCATACCACATTAGCACAGAGACGCAATTGTCAATTCAAATCCCATAGTGGTAGAGATAGTAGAAGTACTACTGGTAAAGGAGAAGATTAGGATTTGAAGGTTTTATTCTAGAAGTATAATTCAATGAGATAAGTTTAAAAGAACTCCGCCAGTAGAACCTTCGGGGCTACTGTCGGTCCCAAGCCCGGGTAAAGGAGGAGGGTTGGACATGGGGTTGGCGACCCCATTCCGTCGAAATCTAACTTGCCACAAAAACGCTAACCAGAAAAGTTTAGAAAGATGAAGGTAGAGGTGTTGACGGATTCAGAAGATTAGGATTTTGGAGAACATAAAGAGTGGATGCACCTGCACGATCGCAAACGATTTTGAGCCATGTCGTTCAAGGTCTCTAACAATCACTCACTTTCGTCTCGCGGACCTCAACCAGGTTGCCTACATCTACCAAAATGACTCAGTCCACTTGTCAGTGTCTTCTTGGATTTGTGCCATGTTTTGGTTTGGCCACCCCTAACTTTCTTCCAACCTACTCCACTCCTACACCACAAAACAAGGCTCGTCGAGGCAGTCGGTGGTCGGGCATTCGTAACACATATCCCAACCACCTCAACTGATGAAGATTCAATAATTCATCTATTGGCCTACCACTCTTACCTATTACTCGTTTTCTAACGGCAGCATTGCTTATTCAGTTGTCCCACAATACACAAGCAATGCTTCGGAGACAACTCTGATTGAAAACCAATAACCTACGAAGATCTTCTATTCTTACCGGTCATGTTTTACAATCATATAGGAGAACAGAGCGAACTGCTGACAGCTACATAGATACATGAACTTTCCGGCAACTTCTAACAACTCCCCATAAAAAAAGAGTACCGAAACATGTTTCAATAGGTTTCATAAGAATACTTCACAAAAAAGGAATAAAAAGTGTGAAATAAGGAAGAATAAAAAATAAATACATCCCTATGATGGTAAATTCACAGATAACAAATAGAATGAAGTTGGAAATGTGAATCATTAGATTCTCATATTGTGGTTTGGTGTTTTGTTTACTCTATCGAATTTTAAGATGCTAAATCCAGTCGTACGAATGGTAATGTACATACATATATATATATATATATATATATATATATATATATATCCTCCAGCTGATGTTATTCTGTGATAAACTCTGCTTGAGAACCATTACAATTATTATATTTTTATTACTCTCTACTGATAAATAAAATAGAAATATAGAAAGGAAACTTAAAATGAGACAGTTCTAGGAAGCAATTAAAAATTAATCGATAGATAATTATAACTAACAGAGAAATTCAAAACACACTTATCCTATTTATGACTTGTTAGTTCGATGTGTCTTTCTTGATATTCAAAACTCTTAATAAAATCAACTTAAAAATTAACATTTTTATCATAAATCCCTGGAATTATAGGATTTCATGTAAATGAAAATCAAATGAAAGTGGTGTAAGATTTTTGTAACTTTATGACATCTTAATTTTTAAATGTACAATAATTTGTACTCAGTCAGTCAGTCAGATGCAACGTAGAACTTCGTACGTAAGTACATCAGTTCATGTTGCCATACCACATCAGCACAGAGATGTAATTGTCAATTCAAATCCAATAGTAGAAGAGGTAGTAAAGGTATTAGAAGTAATCGGAGAGGTTAGGATTAGAAGATATTATTCAAGAAGTATAATTCAGTGAGATAACTTTAGAAAGAGAAAGATGAAGGTGTTGACGAATGCAGAAGATTAGGATTTGAGAGAACACAAAGAATAAATGTACCGGCGCCACTGCAAACGGTTTTGAGCCATGTCATTCAGGGTCTCTAACCATCGATTATTATCATCTCGCGGACCCCAACCAGGTAGTCGACAACTACCAACATGATTCAGTCCACTTGTCAGTGACTTCATGCATTTCTGTCATGTTTTGGTTTGGCCGCCCCTAGCTTTCTTCCAACCTATTCCCATACTACAAAACAAAGCTCGACGAGGCAGTCGGTGGTTAGACATTCGTAACACATGTCCTAACCACCTCAACTGATGAAGTTTCACCACTTCATCTATTGACCGGCCATTCTTACCTAGCACCCGTTTCCTAATAACAGCGTTGCTCACTCAGGTGTCCCAAGATATACGAGCAATGCTTCGAAGACACGTATGATCGAAAACCAGTAACCTACGAATATCTTCTACTCTCACTGGCCATGTTTCACAGCCATTAAGTAAGACGGAGCGAACTACTGCACAGTACACTCGTCCTTTAATCAGCAAACGGATATCTCACCTACGCCATAAGTGACGCAGGTTGGCAAAAGCCAATCGAGCCTTCTGTATCTGAGCTGAGATTTCGTCAGTCACCAGGCCATCGGCACTGATGAGACTCCTCAGATAAATGAAGCGGTCAACACGCTCGACTACTTCACTCCCTATCACTATCAGTACAAACAATAATTTGTACTGAAAAGTATTGCCACATAATTCTTAATACCTTGGAAAGATCGATCAGTAGTTAAAGTTTTCCAATTTTAGCTAAGCTAATAAATCTCAAGTTGAAACCCCAATCTACCTACTTACATTGATTCAAATAATCAGCTAGTATCATCAGTTTTCAATAATTGAAGTGCGATTTGAAACTTAGCATACTAATATGTACCTAGTAAATGAGGTAAATAAATTAATCAATCATTGGATGGTTAAATAACGGAAAAAAAAATGAATCCAACTCATTGATTAGGTTATATACTTAGATATGAATCAAAGTGTTTGTACAAAAGTGAATACTACCAATAGACTGCATTCAAACGTGCCATCGAATAATTGAATTTAAGAATAGTTTGAACATAGTTTCCTGACGTCTGAATTGATAAACAGGTTATTTTGTGACAAGTTGATATAATTTGGAAAATGAACCATATTCGATAATTTAGTAAAGTAATTCAGATAAAAGATAATTCATGTAAATAAAATAGCTTATTTGAGGAAAATATAAATTCATCTAAAGCATATAATAGATAGTTAACTATCCTTGAGGCATGAAATAAACCCAATAGCGCCGATTGAGATTTGATTTTAAGAAGTCAGTTATTGAATTTTATCTATGAACACTAACGAAACAGAAAGACAAGAGGTATTACATATCACATACATGAAAACCACTACATAATGACATTCAGTTACATTTAGTTTAGATTGGACGGTAATTTGTTTCAATATGTAAAAGAGCCTATTCACTTGTTCTTCTAACGAAACCAAACAAAACTGATATTTCATTGTGATCTTGAGTCAGTCAATATTAGACCACCATTGGAAACCTGGAAGCAGTGTAACGTTGTTTCGTCCTAATATGTAACCCATCAATAGTGCTCATTCACGAACTTGGATTGACGTTAAAATTAGCTCAGTGATTAAGACGTTAGGCATTCGTGTGGAACACCAAAGGTGCTGAGTTCGATTCTCGTGAGCGGTGGCCATGGATGCGCACTGCTGATGAATTACATACTAGGACAAAACGGCCGTCCAGAGCTTCTAGGTTTCTAGTTGTTTGTCCAGTAATGATCGATTCGAAATTTCAATGAAACTTATATACATACACTAGACAGTACGTTTACTAATCGTCAGTCAATAAAACACTATTTATGTACTTGTCTATCATAGATCATAAATGTTTCTTTGTGTAATATTGTCTAACGATATTTTATCATAATGGACAAAATAATTAATCTTGTAAGAAAAAATATCGTGAACAAACAAACAAATTTAGAATAAGATTTATTGATCTCCATTTAAACATTTTAAATACAGGATCAATAAATTAAATGGATTTAAGGATAATCACTTTTAGTATTTAAAAAGTTTAGTACTTTTATAAAATAAAATCACTAAATAGAGAGAAATAGCTAATAAATATGTAGTTTATTTGTTGTTAAATAGGTTCAGGTAATTTATAATGATTACTATAAAATTTCATATTAAGATAAGTAAAGTAAAACTTGAATGTATGATTGATTCATACTATCTAAACTTACATTGAAATCATGAATCGATCAAAGTTGGACCAACATTAGAAACCTGACAGTACTGGACGGCTGTTTGGTCCTAGTGTGTAACTCGAATACGCGACCACCACTTGCAGGATTTGCACTCAGGACCTAATATCTTGTACGCGAACAGCTAACATCTAGACTACCGAGCCGGCATCCAACAGTGTTAATGTCTGAATTTAATCAATCTAAGGTATTGCACAACCTCACCCATTGTATTCGATGAGTAACTGCGACTACACCTAAAAGAGTTCAACACCACTGGTTATGTCCTCTTACTAGAACTCCGACAATCGAGTCACTAATGAGTACATTTTTATAATTTTTCATTATACAGTTGTGAAGTGACAAACATCAATGATTTGTTGTTGTTACGCATGCATGTAAACACGTCAACTTGATATACTTGAACTATTACGAGTTTGCCTTAGTCAGAAAACGAGAGCGAGGATCGAGGATCCGGTGACACAACAGGCTACTCTAATCCGAGTGTCCCAACCCCCACTGAGTGAAACAAGAAGACTTGATATGAAGTAGAACGTGTATTCTACAATCATCCAGAAAGTACGAGGAAGAGAATCAGGATCCCGGACTAGGGATCCGGTTCGGGTCATAATACGTTACAGATAATGCGTATTTATACATTTAGGTCGAACATGAAACAGCATCAAAGTCTGTGACATTGACAGTTAAGACGACCAATACGAAACAACATTGGAGCACATGACAATGATATCTAGGACGACCGTAAAATTGACCAGTAGGAATTGACCAATAATTCTCTTAGGATATTGGATGAATATCCTAACAGTTGTATCATTCAAATACAATTTATCATATGTGTAAAAATCGACATTTGTTTTTAGAAAAAACGTGTTTTTTAACGAATTTGTAAGGATTATTGAAAATCAAGAATAGATAAAAGAGTTGGATAATTTCATTTTGGAATCAAAGTTTAAACTTTAATCAAACAAGTGCTGAATTTTAAAACAATTAATTAGGTCTAATAAGTTTGGATAATGCAATAAAAAGATGACTATTCAATCAATCAATGTGATTTAATAATGTAGTACATTTTAAATAAACTAATCATACACACATACCTGTTATAGAACTATTTAGATATGAAAAAAATAATAATAAAAGGTCAACTAAGACAAACTGAAATGTAACAGAAAACTGTGAAACTTATCACACTGGATAATTAAAACAATTTTTCAATATTAAAGTAGTGGAGACTAGTGTTTTTTGCACAATGAAATCATAAATCCATCATTGTTAGGCCGTCAATAGAAACCTGAAAGCACTGGACGGCCGTTCTGTCTTGGTTTGGGACTCATCAACACTGAGCATCTACAGCTCCTACCAATCTCAGGATTCGAACTCAGGATATACGATCTTGTGCGATAACGCTTAACCTCTGAGCTGGCATCTAACGGTGTTAATGTTTGACTCTGATCAATTTACAGATTTGCGCGAACTCACTCATTTGTCTTTGGCAGTTACTGCCTACACCCGGTCGGGTTGAACTTTACTGGCCACATCTTCTCACTAGAACTAGAAGAATTTCTTCATGAAGCTAGTCACTAGTGAGCATATTTTAGCATTGATTTCATCAAGCAATAGTGGTCTAACAATGATTGATTGATGACTGCAGTGTGCAAAAAAATTAATCAAACAATATTATGAAGAAAAAGTTAAGAAAAAGAACAAAAAGGAGTTGAGATTTTCCTACAGATAAGTCTTCAATAAACCTTCTTCTACACTCCGGATAACGTTTGTACAAAAATATAAAGTCTGAATTATAATCAACCTTATGATATGTTTCAATGCGATTAGTTAAGAATAGAGGAAAGTGCATGTTTCTAATCATCTGGTCTTGTTGTGTCATTTGTTTCTGTGATTAGATCGATAAATCTTTTCATATTTTTTCTATCTGTCCGATATGCTCGTCAATTGATAAGTTTGAACTATTACGAGAGCCACAAAAATAGCCTACTAAAATGATCCATCAACCGAAGACAGTCAAGGATTTTCCGAGTGAGAAATGTAATCTGAAGGTCAGCTAGGCAGCTTATGCACGAAACATTAAAAATCGAAAATTAGGACCTTTTTCCAAGTGAATTCTCGTGATCTTACGTCCCCAATACCGTCCAAAAACAATCTATCTATTATCATACTACCGCTGGGGTTAGAATCCACAGTTTTTTTCATATAGTAACGTTGATTCTCCAGTAGGTGTTGGTTCCCAATCTCTAGATTGTTTATTTGTTAAATATACACTAACACATAATTTTTACTACAGACTGAGTTAAATTGAGCAAGCTAGAAAAAAGTTGGATAGTTGACATTTTCCCACAATGTATAGTTTATGGTCAAAAGAAAGACGATCATTTCTCCACGGAAATATGATATATTTAAATTTCTGAGTTAAAGTCACATGGCATGCCTTTAATTAGCCATTCGTCAATAATCAATCAGTGTATGTACCTGCATTCTATCGAGAATCAGTTCAATTCAGATTACATTGTATACCTTATTAACAAATACCAATAAGCACAACATCAAGGCCTACTTTTTCCCATCTATTACTACCCTTCAACCATACAACATGTACATATATACTTAGTGAATTGGAAATCTATTGACAAATTACATGTTTTGTCATTAGTAATGTTGACTAGACAACTTTATAACTTCAAAAAAACTGTTCACATGAAGTTGTAATCATTTAAAAAATATATATATATTTATAGAATAACTTACTAATTTAGATGATAAATCATTTATATTCAATGTATTCATTGTTGATTCATTCATAGATAGTTTAGGCATATTGAAATTATAAAATCCTCCAGTAGAAGAAGTTGTAATCAAATCATGTTTTAAATTGGAACAATTATTAGTGATAGTATATAATGATGATGATGGCGATGAAGGCGACGTGGATGATACAAAAGAAGAGAATGGAATGGACAAAATTTCACAGTCTATTTTATCATTATCGCGATTATTAGATACAGATGGGCATTGTTGTTTATTCTGTTGACATTTCTCGCTTCCTTGTGCTTGTTTCTGTGGTCGATGTCGATAGCGATGCTGTTGTTTCGGTTGTTGTGGCTGTCGTCGACATTGTCGTTGACGTCGTGGTCGTCTTCGGCGTTGATCAGTTTTCTCCACCTCTGTAGGAACTACTTCTACTAGGTTTTCGTTTTGATCATCATCATCATCATCATAATCACAATCATTATTATTCTCATTTACTCTTCCTGTATTATCGATTTTATTTAAATTACTTACAAACGATAGCATAGATAATGGACAATTTAATGGATTTGTATAAGTTGGTGCTGGACATTGACGATTGACATTATTGTTATTATTCACAGTAGTAATAGTAGAAGCATGATTGAGACTATTATTCGATGTGATAAGTAGCTGTTCTAAATATTTTTCATATTTTTCCGATTGATTAATATTATTATTATTATTATTATTATTATTATTATTATTATTATCATTATGTTCACAGTGATGACAATGAGCATTTTTAGCATATTGATGACATTGACCGAGATCAACACAATCAACGGTTGTTGTAGCTGTTGTCGTTGGCGTAGCTGTTGGTGGTGTTGTCGTTGTTGTCGTGGATTTAGGCATTTCACAAGTTTTGCATATATCTTGTAAATAATGAATGAAAGCATTACGACGATTCTGTTGAGATATTTGTAATGAATTATTGAAAGATTTATGACAATTCAATGGAATATTATTATTTTGTGCGTTGCTGATTGTTTTAGCATTGGCGGTATTTGCTGTTGTTGTTATTGTATTCAAAGTAGTAGCAGAAGTTGTAGCCGTAGTCGTATTAATATGATTGGATTGTTTAGTTCGCATTTTTTGCAATATACGTAACTTTAAAAAGAAAAGTACAGGAAAGAAATGGATTCAAATTGAAAGTTTACAAAATACATGAAGATAAAATCACACCTATTTAATAGAATAAGCTACATGATTTTGCCTTTTTGATGCATACATAAAAAATTCAATTGCTCCTATGAAGAATGATATAATGGATAGTCAGTCAGTCAGTCAGTTACAACTTAGAACTTCGTACATGAGTACACAATTTCAGGTTGCAAGACCGCATCAGCACAGAGACTCAACTGTCAGTTCAAATCGCATAGTAGTAGCGATAATAGAAGTATTAGCAGTGATAGAGTAGATTAGGGTTCGAATATATGATTCAAGAAGTATAATTGAGTGAGATAACTTTACAAAGAGAAAGACAGAGATGATGAGGAATTCGGAAGGTTAGAATTTGAGAAAACACAATGAATGAATGCACCTGCGCCATTGCAAACGATTTTGAGCCATGTCGTTCAAGGCCCATAACCATCGGTGACTTTCGTCTCATAGAACCCAGGCAGGTAGTCGACATACCAACATGACTTAGACCACTACTTGTCAGTGACTTAAGGAATTTCTGCCATGTTTCGGTTTGACCGCTCCTAGCTTTCTTCCAACCTACTACTCTTAGACCACAAAACATCGCTCGTCGAGACAGCCGGTGGTCGGGCATTCGTAATACATGTCCCAACCACCTCAAATGATGAAGTTTGAATACTTCATCTGTTGACCTGCCATCCTTACCTAGTACCCGTTTCCTAACAACTGCATTGTTTACTCGTCTGTCCCAGGATATATGGGCAATGCTTCGTAGACATCTATAATCGAATACTAATAACCTACAAATGTCCTCTACTCTTACCATCCATGTTGATATACTGGACACGTCAACTTAATGAATGAATAAGTGAGAATCTTCCTGATTGGTCCGTAAAAAGAGCTAAAAAAGGAAAGAAAAGACGTTTTGTTGAGCCACTTTATCACACTTGGTCATCAATGGTCATGTGAAATAGAGTGATTTACCGTATACCTCTGCTGTCTTGCAATGGGGTTCAATCTCCTTTATAAAGCAAAGGCTATGCGGATTCGAACCTAAAGCTCTGGTATATCTATTTAGGAAAAGTTCATATGATCTCTGTCTATGTTTTAGTTTGATGAAACTTAATAAACGGTCTTATTAAATTTTTCATGTCTGATTTCTCCACCTTCCTGTGCACAGTTTCTTCATTGTCTGATTATTTGAGATTTTTTGTTACGTAATTGAAATAATATTTAGTGATTGTTATGCAAATGTTGATTTTCCTATGGTTAGACTTAATCTATAAGTTAAAACACTAATTCAATCTTTTAGTATTCTCATCACTACTAGTACACTTGTTATCATCATCTTATAATCAGTTTGTATGTTCTTAGAACCAATTTGATGCCGCTCTCTTCACTATGATATGCACTGCTTTCCAAGACATTTTTCTTATTCCTAATCGTACACTCATCCTTCATATTTCACATAATATGTTTGTTAATAATAATTATTAATGTTATGTGAAGATTGTCAAGTTACACATTTGAAATCACAACCCCGTAATTAGCTGTGCTCACTGGTCACTAGCTCCTTGAGGAATCTTCTCCGAGTTCTAGTGGGAAGTCGTGACCAGTGAAGTTCAACCTATTCGGATGTAGACAGTAACTACTGAAGACAATATATGAGGTTGCGTAACTCCGTGAATTGATCGAAGTTAGACATTAACACAGTCAGATGAAGGCTCATTGGTCCAGAGGTTAGACGTTAGCACACAATACCGAAGGTCCTGAGTTCGAATCCTGCGAGGCGCAGACGTTGTGGGTGTGCACTGCTGATAAGTCTAATACCAGGACGAAACGGCCGTCCGGTGCTTCCAGGTTTCTAATGGTGGTCTAACTTTGGTCGATTCATGATCTCAAAAGTACTATTATTGTCAGTAAAATAATAGTGGATATTGTTCGATTTCACGGACCGATCTAAGTTAGATCATCATTGAAATGATGGTCGTCTTAACCATTTATTTGATAATTATCATGTGCTCACTGATGACTGGCTTCGACAAGAAATTCACAGAGTTCTAGTCAAAAGCAATGAATAGTGGAGTTCAACCGTGTCGAGCGTGAGACAGTTAACCACTGGAAACAGTGGAAAATAATCGTACATTGTAGTGGATTGATTAAAGATATACGTTAACATCGTCGTATGCCGACAGAGTGGTGTCTAGAGGTTAAGTGCTGTTTTATTATCATTGATATATCAACTGTCTTGACTGGTTAAACATATATTTCATTTATGCACTCATAAACCACTGGTTCAAAGGGCTACCAAAAATACACACATCATTGAATTTTTATGTGACCACCTAGAATAAGTAGTACCAAAGTGGCCAAATCCAAACAGAAAGTTTTCTTTTATGTAAATAAATATTACTGTACATTTCATATTTTTTTTAAAAACAAAGAAAACCTGACCAACAATTAACTCTAAATTATAATGTTCACGTAAATTTTCTTTTTCATGCTGTCCTAATTTACCTAGTGGAGAATTATTCATATTCTATAGGAAAAGAACATTGAAAATAACCTTAGTAATAGCTAGCCGATTATAAAAAGTGTAATATACACTTTGAATTATACATTTTTGAAACCATGAATCGATCAATGTTAGACCACTATTAGAAACCTGGAAGCACTGGACGGCTGTTTCGTCCAGGTATGGGACTCTTCAAAAATGTGTAACTTAACAATCTTCACAACCCCGTAATGCACTTTGAATTATACTAGAATAAAAAAAAATTTCTTTTTAATTATCTAACACTTCACATCAAATAGATAATTTCTAAATCAATAATCAATGCTTAGTTGATGATGATTTCTCATTGTTTTATGTATGTAATTTAGATAGATTTAAAAAAAAATGTCTCAGTGATAAAATATTCATTTATGTATAAGTAGTGTAATAAGTGATTTTTTTTTTCCTTTTTTCCATTCTAAAATAATCACATCGACAGTTAGATAAATTACAAAAAAACTCATATAATCTTGATAAATATTTTGCTAATAACTGATGTTATTTAGATAATTTTATAAAACTACATTATATGTTATCATATCATCTTTACAAACACACACACACACACACACGATTGAGCTGTATTGTTCAAGTTGTTGTAGTAGTGGTGTTAACATGTGGACAGTGTTTGGTCCTCGAGGTAAACCAATGTAAAATTCCCATTGTCTATTGAGAGTGCATTTACATAAATAATTGTGTGTGTGTGTGTGTGTGTGTGTGAAAACATCAAATAAATCGACTTTGGCAAACAGTAGAACAATAGAATAGAATAGTTGAGGAATGTGTTAACTACATGTATTCTATATTCTCCAGTGTTAATGTTTACAATTCACACTGGAATTCAGTGTTTATTATTACGTTTAATGCTAAGCATTATTTATTAAGATACAAAATTCAGTCCTCTATTTTGATATATATATATATATATATATATATATATATATATATATATATATATAGACATAGTATCACGTTATGGCCATTCTTAGCCTTTTTCATCCCTTTCGTCAATGTCGATCATAAGAACGAAATTTAGTTAAAACTCATTAAATTTGAGTAATGTATATAGTTTCCTTTGTTTTATTGATTACAGTTTCACAATTGCAATATTGACTGGAAAATCTGTATGGATTTACAAATTATCATTTTACTCAACATATGAGACCTTTTATTTAATCTTGACCATATTGAGCAATACCACTTGCTTTTCATTGTCTTCCAGTTAAATAAGTTAGACCATCGTTGATAAGTTTGTAAAATAACTATTGGATTCTCATTTGTATTCGATAATTATATCATTGATTTTAAACCATATCATATAAATTATTTACAGTGAGACAAATACTTAGTGCGTATTTGGTTCAAATGTTAACGTGTTTATCCACCGAACTATTGAGATCAAATAACATGTTAGTGAGGGTATTTTCTTCAGACAATCCATGTTAGAACAGTAATTATATCGAAAAAATTGTAATCTGAACAGAAAGCACCTAGATATCTAATAGATTTCAAATTATTATTATTATTATTAATTAGCACTTTGTCTTCATTTCCTATTATCATAATTAAATTGATGACAAATACCTAATGAATATAAACAGTGAATGTATCAAATTGGAAAGAAGGATATCTCATCAAAATACCAAAGAAAGGCGATCTCAGCAAGTGTGAGAACTACAGAGGCATCACTCTTCTTTCAATACCAGGCAAAGTCTTCAACAGGGTATTGTTAAACAGAATGAAGGACTTCGTAGACGTCCAACTTCGAGATCAACAGGCCGGATTTCGTAAGGATCGATCGTGTACTGACCAAATTGCTACATTACGGATCATTGTGGAACAATCAATTGAATGGAACTCACCACTCTACATAAACTTCATCCACTACGAGAAAGCATTCGATAGCGTGGATAGGAAAACACTGTGGAGGCTTCTTCGACACCACGGCGTGCCTGAGAAAATAGTCAACATCATACGGAATTCTTATGATGGATTCAACTGCAAAATCGTACACGGAGGACAGCTAACAGACTCTTTCGAGGTGAAGACCGGTGTCAGGCAAGGTTGCTTATTCTCACCCTTTCTCTTTCTCCTGGTCATCGACTGGATTATGAAGACGTCGACATCTGGAGGGAAGCACGGTATCAACTGGACAGTTAGGACGCAGCTGGACGATCTGGACTTCGCAGATGACTTGGCTCTTCTATCTCACACGCAACAACAAATGCAAGAAAACACGACCAGTGTAGCAGCAGCCTCTGCAGCAGTAGGTCTCAACACACATAAAGGAAAAGCTAAATTCTCCGATGCAACACAACATGCACCAACCAAATCACTCTTGATGGAGATGCCTTGGAGGACATTAACACCTTTACATATCTGGGCAGCATCATCA